AAAAAGCTACATCTTATGCACCATTTAGGATAAACATAATGTAAGAGCCTGACAGCCCAAGAGAAAATGTCTGTTCTATATGAAGGAATTGCATTTGAACAACAAGATCACAGTGATTACAAGAAAAGCACTTTATTTTAACAATTAAAATAGTAAATTTCTGGGATCAGCCATTCTCAAGGAAGATTTGCCCTCAACCAAAAGAGTCCTGAAACCCAGGAGGTTATGTGTGACCATGGTACCTTATTGACTGAATTTCAAACATCACAACAAACACTCCACTGGTAGGGATACGTCTTTCCATTTCCGAAGATCTGTATCTAACAGAACATGTGCATAAACTTTAGCTTTGATCTTCAGCAATGATAATCTTAATAATAAACCCTTTGGTGCTAGGAGTTGGGGCGTGATATGGCACAGCGACAGAGCGTGTGCACCGTTGCAGGTGACATCGGGGAACCCCACTCTGTGGGATTATCATTGGAAGTATCTCTGCGTTCAGCTCTTGTTAGCTCCCACAAAGACTGTGATATTGCAGAGTATTCCTGGTTGTGTTGTGTGAGTGAGTCTGAGAGATGTTCCTACAGAGATGCCTTAGCCTCTTGATGTGGAAAGTTGAGTGCCCAAGCATGAAGCCCACTGCTGGCAGTGCATGTGCTGGGATGGTCAAGGGGTAGATGGGCATTTTAGCAAGGCAGCTAAAGACGCAGAGTAACTTAGACAATTTTTCATGTTTCATGTTTTATCTTTAATAATGGATGGATAATCAGATAGAAATATATCATGATGTATATTCTAACTGCATAGGATTTCATTATGTCACCGTGTAACACTAAAGACATGTAGATGTTGTCCCTGTGCAGAGAGAGAGGAGAGCAGCAAATGCATTGCAGGTCTCTCCTGGACTGGTGGTGAAGAGGTGTCTACACTGACACAGTGCGCGAGTGACTGAAATAACGAAGTACTTAACAGACGGGCATTAATTAGTTCTCTGCAAAGTTCTTGTACTCACAGACTGAAACTATGGTGATTCAAAATCTGTGTTACATGCCTGTGTTTTCTCCCCTATGTTTTTAGCTTGTAACAGCAATAAGTTTCTTGGCACAGGGCACCTCCAGCCAGTGGCCAACTGGCTGTGGCACTGGCCAGCAGCTCCTCATGGCAGCGATACCCTGTGCTTTGCTCTCCGTTGTGTAGCCAGGTAGTGTGCGGTTTGCAGGAGGGGCCTGGTAATGAACTGTTTGTAAACCTTTTAAGACATCACTTTGCATTGCATTGTCTGCCTTCTGCAACATCAGTAAACCAGTTTATGATGCAGAGTCAGCAGCCACCTTGTGCTGCCCAGGCCTAGGGGATTCTCTCTTACCAGTGTTAGATGACAGAGAAGTGGAAAAGCAGTGCTGAGAGAAACTTTCAAAGCTCTTCTGCTGTCTGCGGTTGTGGTTGAATTTGGACAGGAGATGGTGACTGGTTGTCTTGGTGAGCCTTTTGAGCACAGTACATTTCAGACCTTGACTCCAGCTTGTACTGACTTCCATGACATACAGTATGCCCTCTTGTACTGCAGCCATCTCAGAGGAAATAAGTCAATTCTGTTTGGATTTTGGCAGTTTTGCACACAGCTTCGCTTTCCACACTAATCCATCTTCCAGTACATTCCTGTTGCTTAAAGAACATTTATTCCAGTATTGTTTTACCTTTTTTTCCATCTTATCTTGTGGCTTCTTAAAGCTGACTGTTCTTGCAGGGGCCATGTGCTTCTCCTAGAGTACAAAAGTAAGGTCTTTCCTTACTAATTGCAGGGTCTATATATTACACCTCAATGTACACACTTTGCTGCTACTGTTTGTACTGTCTACAGTAGAATTTCCTTATCTTGCTCCTGGTAGTGCATTACAGGCAAGCATGAAATGTAAAGTATTTATTTAAATAAAAACTTCTAAATGGGTAATTGAATTACCTCCCTGTAGCTTTAGAGTTTGTGACTTTTCTTGACCTTGCTAGTTCTTTCATTAGATCCATGCAAGATCTAGTCATATGGTTAAGGATATTAAGCAGACACGACTACGAACCCAAGAAACCGTATTACTGTCAGTCATACTTAAACTGTTTATTTCCTTAAGTATATGACCCACAAGGATGTGAAGTAACTACAAGACTGTTTTTCTACACTGTACATCCTTAGTATTTTTACACGTATATGATAGGGATGCACATTATTTTCCTTCGTACAGACAGCTTAAATAAAGCACTATGTCAATCTGCTACTTCTGTGTTTTTTAATGCTAGTTTGTTCTGGAGGATTGTAAATATATATATATATATATATATATATATATATATATATATATATATGTTCAAGCTTGCCACAGAGGTCGTATTTTTTTATATCTGCACATTACTACTAAATATGTTAGAGGATAAAATTCTTAAGTTGTCCTGTGTCAGAGAAAGAAAAATGGAAATGAGAAGGCTATATTGCAGATTACAAAAGATTTCTCAAGTTTTGGGTTAAATATTTACTTCATATTTTAAAGTAATTTTATATAGGTTAGATGTTTCAATCCTGAAATGCACAAAGAATTTACTTAATTTCTTCTTACAAGAAAATGTACATCATTATTTTTTTATCACTGTATATATAATGATCTGTGCATGTTTAGTTACAAGTTTTATTTGCTGTGAAGTCCTAGTGATAACTGTAACTCGCTGTGACATATTTCAGATACTGGGTGAACAGTTTCAGCTTGTAAATGATTAAGTTACAGTATTGTCAAAAAAAAAAAAGTTTTTATGACTAAGCAAAATGTATCTGTGCTTTGGACTGAGGCTGTTTCCATACAGGTGGTTCCTGTTAACTCTCTGATATGCATGTCACTTATAAAAGTAAATTTGGGTTACACTTTTAAAGATATGCTCCTATGAGAACATCCACCATTTAAGTGATTTTCAGCTGATGAAATTCTTGGCCTCATATCCCACAGCTAGATGATGTTTGGGCAAGGAGAGGCAAGAAAGGGAAGGTGGGATTTGCAGGGCACTGCAGAATGGGACTCTTTGAAGCCCATGGGCTGGTCCAGAGCTGTTTGAGCTAGCCAGCCTGGAGGGCTGAGTGTCCCTAAAGCAGTGGGTCATCTGAGTTTTCTGACAGGTTTTCTGCTCTCTGACGTGAATGCTTCTCAGGAATAGAGGTACTTCATCCAGGTCTCAGGTTTTTTCCTTTATTTTTTCTTCCTTTTTTTCCTCCACCACCTTGTAATAGGAAAGAGCATCAGGGAGACAGCCATCCATTAGTTCAGTGGTGTCAGGATGTCAGTGACCAGGACAAAACTGCAGCAGTGACAGGACTGCCTGCTTAGGCTGCATCCCATGTTGTGGAATCACACTCTGTGTGCTGACCTGGATTTGACTATCAGGTCTGATACTTGTAAAATTTGTAAAACCAAGCATTCAGTGCTTAAGTAGAAGCAGAGGAATGTGGGGAGGGATATGAGACAAGTAGGCCTGGTGCTGTAATGACTTACTAATTGCTACAAAGTAGAGTAACTGCTGCAGGGGAAGTTACTCCTTGTGGACTACCAGCAAGACAATAGTTGCACCTATGCCTGGGATGAGTATGAAAAACCCACTTTGAGCTATATATATACTGGCAGCCCAGGACCCTTTGTTGAAATCAGACTCAAACATGCACGTGGGTGGCTGGCAGTGAGGCCCTGCATGTGGCCACCAGAAGCCACCTGATAGGTGAGGCAAGTGCAGAAAGGTGGAGGGTCCCAGTGTGCTCTAGGGTCTCAGTGAAGCCTAAGTGTCAGGAATAGGTGCCCAAGTTCCTTTGCACACGTAGCCTATAGGCACTGTCTCCTATTTAAACACACATTTATGCTGTGGAATAATAATAATAATAAAAAAAAAAAGTTGAAGTTTGCATTTCCTAAATTTATAAATGTATAATTATAAATCTTAACTGTGTAGTAACCATCTATAAAGTAGTGACACTTAAAAAGCTGTCAGCCTGACTACTGTGAAAAATTCTGAATTTAACTAAAGAGGGCTTTCCTTCAACAGCCTTTCTTCTCTCTAAAGACCTGAGGCCTTTCTCAGCATGCTCAATGTCTGTGAAGCTGTTCAGGGAGGTGATCAGATGTGTTTGGCAGTTTTGTATGGCAGGAAATTGAAATAGGGAGGAAAAATCACTTTGATGTTAGGGCTGTACCACTAATAATTCTTAAAATACAAGGGAAGGAAGGATTGTGTTCCACACCCAATGTTAATTTATTGCATGTGTTGTTACTCTTATTTTTGTTATGTTTTCTGTGTTCATGCTGGCTGAAGTAGCTTTATTGCTGGGGAACTGTTCTTTGCGCTTTTTTCACCCCCTTTACCAACTACATTGAAAAAAATAGATGTAGAAACTTTTGTGTGTGTAGCACTTTAAATTACACTAGATAGCAAAATACTCAGATAAACTCTTTCTAAAACAGTTGGGTATTTGAAAAGTAACCTTAAAAAACATGAGCGCACAGTTAACCAGAAAAAAGCCCTCCACCTGTACCCTCCTAATGTTCTGAGTTCAATAATTTGAAGCCAAGTTCACCTGGTGCCCTGAATATGTGCTGGTGGAAAAGTCCAGTTTCACCACTTCAGTGTGGAGCCCATCACCTCTTGTAATGGTTCCTCTGTAATAATCAAGGGCTCCTTTCTCTTAAAGGCCTTGTTCAGTGAATGTTTTAAAGGGGAACCTGAACCATGGAAATTCCTCCACATTAGGTGGAATATTTCTCAATCTTCTCTTATGCTTTTCTGATTAGTAAGTAGTTGTTGGGGCTCTCACTTTTTATATGAAAGTGACAAATGTCCTGTTGAATAAAGTTCCCAGGTATATTCTGGTACTGAGTTTGTAAAAAGGAGGGCAGTGTACATGTGCAGCAATTGCAAACAGCCCCCTTCTCCCTCCTCCCCCTGCACATGCTTTCCCTTGAATTCAGGACAGAACAAGGAACTTAGAGAACCTATTAGGTTTATTGATATTTCAGTCTGTAAATAATATAGACATGTATGTTCAATTATGAAAATAGATAAAAACATTTTATAAACATTGTACAAATTGTTGACATCCACACCACGTGATAGTTGTTAAAACTAGCTTGCAAGCCTGTCTTTTCAGAAAAATCTCAGCTGTTGTCCTAGAAAGTTTGGTAGGCTGGTAAGGCTTCAAAATATTTGTGATTCTGTAGTGAAAACCAAATAGAAACCAGCTGAAATTAGGTAGCAGGTGTGCCTGTTTTCTGCAGAGGTGTCTTTGGGTGAGCCTCAGACAAGTTTCAGCCAGGTGCAGAGCAGACCTGAAAGATAAAAGGAAGAGATGGGTAGTCTGTATGGCAGTGCCTGTGTTTCTCATTTGTGTCACGTCAGCCTGTGTCACGTCAGCCTGCAGACAAGTTCTCAGAAGAAAAATAAAAACTGGTTAAGACTGCAGTAAGGCAGAGTAAACAAGTACAGTTTCAAAGCCTGCACTGTCTGTGGGCTTGATGTCCTCAACTCTTTCTAACCTCAGAAGTCTTACAGGTAGCAAGAACAAGAGACATCTGATTGCTGAAAAACAGGATCTCCATGAGCTTTTGACATGGCTCCTGTTTAGCAGTAAATAAGTGAGCTCTTGTTTTGGGGCACGTCTAAAATCCTGCCCCTTGCCCCTTCCAGGAAGAAGGTGGCAGGGTTTTGCCAGAGGGTGTTTACTGTGCAGTGTTCAGCATGTGTCTGGGGTGGGCAGCTGTAGCAAAACAGGAAACTGTTGCCTTGGTGCTAGTATGAAACCTCTGGTGAGAAGGCTAATTCGCAGTTTTGAAGCTCTTGCATAGCTGTTGTTTGTGCTTCCTCGGTAGCACTTAAGGACTGAATTGAGCAAGATATCAAACTATTGAAGCTGGGGGAGCTACCTTGAATTAAGCCCCTGCAGTACTAAAAATTGAATTTAAGAGATGTACATGACCTCAGAAAGAAAAATAAACTTTCTACTTTGGCTGGTTTTGCATTAGAAGACTGAAGGGGTTTTTTTTTCCTCCCCTTAGTTGGTTAGGCTGAATTAAAGAAAATTCATGAAGCTGCAGTTCATTAAAGAATGAAAAAGAGTAACATGGTGGTTTTTTCCCCCAAAATACATGCACCAACATCAACTGCTACAGTTGTGTTTGCGACCAGTGCAAGGAACTATGGCAATGGAAAGCCTTGGGGCTTAAATTCCTTGTCAGTGCCTAGGTAGTGACAACCAGAAGAAACACTGCACTCTGTGGTGCAGTGACCCTCAGCATCAGAGTATGGGCAGAACCCAAAAACTCAACTCCTGAAGAAGTTGAACTCCTGGAAATTTCTGTTGTGGGTGTCCTTCCACACCACAATTACCTAGTCCTAATGCTTTGTGAGATGCAGAACCTCAGCTTGATTGATGAAGTGGGCCAAATCTCCTGACTCCAGCCTGGCCTGAACCTCTTCACAAAGCAGCAACAATCCTGTCAGAATCTCTGTACCACACTGTCCCAGGGCCCAAGTATTAAAGCTGTCATTTAAGGTGTGCTGTTTTCTAACGAAAGGGGTACAGCTGTCATTGTCACATTCACGTAATTGGTAAACGAGTTGCTTACTGGACAGTCAGGGTATAGGGGCCTTTCCAGTCTTAGTTTCTCCTCCTCCCAAGAATATTTTGGTTTTCAGTGCACAGAATGCTGCAGCACACAGTGCCCAGGTTCCTCTGGGCACTCCCTTCTTGCCTCAGTGGCATCTGCTTTAACAGGCTGGAAGGGTTTGTGGGAGTGAAACTGCAGATGCCCGACTGGTTTATTTTATTGCTGCCAGCTATACTGGGAGGAGGGAAGAGCAACTGACTCCCTGTTTGATTAGAAAGCACTCAGGTGGCTTCAGTGCCTTAATCCTCCATTGCATGGCTGTAAAACCCAAGGTGGAACTCTCAGGAGGGCCAGGCTCAACTCCTTAGCTGGTGCCCAGCTTTGTCCAGTAGCCAGACACTGTATGGGATGTACAGGACTCCCACAGCTGCAGATGCACAATCACTGAGGAGCTCAATACTTGAAGCCTCATGTCAGGGCAGTCAGACATCAAACCAGAGGTTTATCTTTATCCCTTCCTGTCATGGTTTAACTCACATCACTTCTGATTAAACTCCATCCAAGCAGAAGTGAAGATTTTCATCTGCTTAAAGAAAACCCACAACATCCACCAACCCCATCTGTGGACTGTCACTGGCTGTTACAAACACCTGGCAGAGGCACCATCTTTGTGCAGTAAGACTGCACTAAGATAAAAGCTCTCTCCTAGTAACAAAAGCAATCTTCAGGTCTCCTGAGGTTGAGGGCCATGTAAGGATCACTTTAATCACTTTTGACAGCAGAGATGGATGACCTACCTGTTTGCTGGAAATAAGGCTCCTCCTTCTGTAATGCATAATAAAAATTAAAAAGCAAACAGGGCACTTGGGACACACTGCTGCATTAACCACTGGGACCTCACAGGAAATTCCTGCTGACACAAGAAAGGAAAGCAAACCCCTGCCCTAGAAGAGCTGTAATTCTGACAGTGCTGAGTGACTGAGGCGAGGACGGGAGCGCAGGCACGGGTGAGTGTACTTTAACTTCATTTTAGCAGAAGGGTGATCAGCTCACAGACACACTGGCTGTGACAAAGACACAGTGAGTGTACTTTAACTTCGTTTTAGCAGAAGGGTGATCAGCTCACAGACACACTGGCTGTGACAAAGACGTCTGTAAGGAGGGAAGAGAGAGCTTGAGAGGCTCAGCCATACGGAAAGCACAGGGAGAGCGTGGGTTCCTGGCCAGAGGGAGTCTGGCTTGCAGGAGGAGATCTTTGTGGGGAAGTCAGAGCAGCAGCACAGGGTGACAGCCCTCGATGGAAGTAATCCTCAAGGTCCAAATCCTGCCCGTCTGTGCTCTCACTGGCTCAGCTGGCCAGCAACCCCTTCTGGCAGCTGGGGTCTGTGAGGGGATTATCCACCAGAACAAATACTTATTTCTGTCACACTGATGGACACCAAGACAGATCCTGCAAGAGAGGCATCCCAGCTCTCACAAATACACTCATGCCTGGTGGGGGGTGCTGAGGTTTCCAGCAATCTCTGTCTAGATGTTTGTTTGCTTTCTGTGCGCATTTATTTAGTATTCTGTATTTCATACCTATGTAGGAGGGCAATTAAATATCTTTTATACTCCTGCCTTAGGGTGAGTTCCAATGTGTAAGAAACTTTCAAAGGTAAAAATTCCAAACCTGAGTGTTCCAAAAACTTTCAAATTGAGAGGTGTAAATGCCATAATTAAAATTTGATTACCTTTACCAGGTCCTGAGTATGCTCATGTAGCCTGAAAAGGAATGCAGCATTCAGCAGGACCAGGTACTTCTTTTATGATTTCTTTTCCTTCACTTTAAAAACCTGAATTTTCCTTACAGTGTCAAATGACTTTTCCAAGAAAAACAGGCTCTGAACACATGAGAATGTAGCTGAATTTAAAGACAGGTTTTTTATTTTCCTTTCTGCTGTCTTTTCCCCCATACAACAAACACGTAACACTAGAAATAAAAACTACAGTGGAAGTAACATGACTTTTGAAAACAAATCCTATCAAGGCTTAGGACTTGTTAGGGATTGTTGGCTAGGTCAGCTAGATTCAAGTAAATGATGCAATTTTAAATTCTTTAAAAGTTCAATAACTCTTACAAGGCAGTAGGAACAGCTATAGCTGTGTTGCACTACTGTAACTCAGACACCACTGCTCCCAATACAAATATCTACATAATATTCTTTCAATGTGACACGAACTGTTACGATTTATTACAAAACCAATTGCCAATTGCAGCCTTTCTGAAGAGATAGGGATGATTCAAGCTTCCCCAGACAGAAAATACCGGAAGCAACAAAATGAAGCATTTTAAATCAAAAGGCAAACATCTAGGGACTATCCAGACACAAAGTACCTGGGTTAAATCTGAGATCTTCCAGAAGTTTCTACCTAGCTAAGAGGTGTATATCCACCTTTCCCTTCAACTTAGATATTTAAGATTTTTTTTTTTTATTATTCTATTAGGTAAACTTGCCTTTACTATTGAGGGCTTGTCCTTAAATTTTTAGAGTGCTTAAAGAGAAAAAAATCAAAGCACAAAAAGCTTCAACAGTTTCAAACCCAAAAATGTTTCAAACACTTCCTTCTTCCTTTTGTCTTTTAAGTGTTTGCCAGATTCAACTCACATCTGCAAATAGTTTTAGTTGTGCTCTCCTTTCCTCTCCTCCCCATTCTATATATAGGATATAGAAAAAAAATACCTACTTATGCTCATTTCTCTTTATCCATCCAGGTTTTTACTTGATTCCATCTGTGTCCTGTTTGAGATCTGCATCCCATTTTTTCCCTGAAATATGCAACTGCAGTTACTAGAGGCTTATGTTCCAAGATACAATAGCACATTTAAGTTAGCGTATTTTACATAATCTTTAAAAGATTAGGTAATGGTTGATTGCTTCCACCTCCTTGCCCTCCCTCCCAAAAGAACCTTAATAAACTTGGTTAATTATAAAAGGACAACTACTGGACAATATAGTAAAATGTGGAATATGAGGTCACTTTAACCTTTGATGAACATTAACTATGCAGTTGTTTGGTTTCAGTATTTCCATACTAACTACAGGTATCCTTCTGCAAAGAGCTTCAATTTATGGTGAACTGTTCTTCAGTTTCCTTAAAACAATTGTCTGATATTCCAAGCAGCTCTTTTGGGCTGAATTCCAGTTCCCAGAGAACCACCATTGCTTTAAATATCTGCACATAGATTTTTAGGGCTCATTCTGTAATAAGTTTTTCTATCATTCCTCTTTTCTGAGTGTTCTCAACTTAAAAAGTATCCTATGGAGCACATTGAGCTTCTGCCAGTCAAGTCTTGATAGAAATGTAATATTTGAATGATGTTTTTCCTCTTTTGTATGATTTTTGTACTTCTGCCCAACTCCATGAAAACACAATCACTTCCAGATAAAACAGATTATCAGTAACAAAATCCCTGTGGGCCATGTAAAGGCTGTTCACATTACCAAGAGTGCTTTTCTTAAAGCAGAAATTTTAATTTATTTAAACTACCTCCTTAACCTCTCTTATAGAGAGAACACTCATGTTGCCCTAAAATTTGCCAGTAGTTACTACAATGCTGATAACCTTACACACCAAGTTTGTCTACTAGAACAGGAAGTCCTGTAAAACCAAACACATGGACATGATTAGGGTCTCAATAAAGTATGGATTTTATTCTCCTAAGTTAAACATTTACTGACTTCTACAGATAAAAAGCCTACAAAAATAGTATGATTTAAGTACTTTAAAGTTCTAAGCCAATTCATGTTCTGTTTACTGCTAGGTGTGCTACTAGACCAGATTTCCTATACTGAGTGTCCTTTGTTACCATGTTAAGCAAACTCCAGCTATCCTGGGCAAACTAATGAGTTTGAAAGTTAGAAACCATTGTAATTTGATTTGTGACTGAGTAAATACACTAATTCAACACTGAGTTTGATTATCTGATAGTTTTACTTTAAACCTCATTCTGTGCTTGTTAGTTCTCTTCCTTTTTCTGAAAGAAGGAAAAAGAAAAAACCCAGCCCCGCAGTCTTCTCCCTTATTTCCAAAGCACATACTGGCCAAAGAACAGTGGCCAAGACAAAAAAAGCCAGAACAGCCTATAGGAAGCTACAGTTTCCTAGGGACCACTGGAAGCAACAATCAGAACTGCTGGAGAAGCAGTGCTGTGATTAGTGCCCAGGCAAGATTGATTGTACATTCACCATCTCACATTGGGTGCATGAATCACAGAATATCTTGAATTGAAAGAGACCCACTGGGACCATCAAAGCTCAACTAGTGTCTCTGCACAGGACAATCCCAAGAGTCTCACCATGAGTTGTCATTGAACAACAAAAAAAAATAAGTAACTTTTAAAAATAAAGAGAAAAACATAATGAAGTGATAGAAGGACTTCAGTCTGACAAATGGCAGCAAAACCTCTAAGCAGTTATCAATATCAAGTTACCATTTAAACATAAATGATGTTAAAGAACAGATTTCCCTTTTCGCTGAAAAAAATATTCAGATAAGAAAGCTAAAAACTGTACCTTAAAATAACTTCTGTGTTTTATTGTCACTTTAAAACACTTTTTTCATTTAGTTTATATTTAAGTTAGAGTCAAGTTCAGCTACCTTTCCAACTGCGTGAATTTTTATTTTAATTTTTATAAGGTAATGCTGTATTTAAAAGAACAACAGCAACAAAATCCAGCAGCTGAAATCAGACTGCTGGCAGATTTCTCTGCTAAAGCAGCAGAATATTCCCCTCAGACTTTCTTTTCTTTTGGCACAGTACCTGTGTTCGCAGAAACTGCACCTCTTCTGTAAGCAGGTGCTTCTCTTTGAAGAGCTGATTCTGTTTGTTGAGCAACTCCACTAACTGCTGAGCAGTGGCCTGGCAGTGCTTGTCAAGCTGCTGTAACCTGGAAAAGAAATAGATAAAAGGGTTGCAGAGCATCTGAAATTGGAGTTCATGGAAGAGGCTTTGGTGTTTGCAGTGGTGGTGACAGTGCCCAGAGTTCAGGCTGAGACTAAAGTATTACTCCTAGGATGGGCATTAAATGTATTTTCACACTTTAAATTAACACTTTTAAAGGTTTGCACTTTTAATTTAGAAACTTTACGAGGACATGACAACAAATCTGCTTTGCTGTGACATCAGTAAATACTGCAGGAGTGCATCCCAACACCTGTAGCTAAGCAAGTGGCACACTCTGTAGCTGCTTCAGTAACTCTCTTCTTGAAACACACACAGTAGCCCAGATTATAAAACCAAATACCCAACTCCCTGACAAACTGGACCTGAAGTGACAAAAACTTCTGTTTTATGTCCACTGCTCTTTGCAAGCTGGTCAATGTCCAAAACTCATTACAGAACATGGCATTTATTTCAAGTAAAGCTTAGTGTTAATTAAGCATAGATCCTTTAACAGTCTAACAGGGATTCCTAGGGAAAGATGTAAAGAGACCATCATTCCAAGGCCCTCCTCATCAGGGGCTGCAAAACAGAGGGAAAAAGCTGGCAGATCTCAGAAGAAACATGCAGAGGCCTTCAGCTTACACTGGAAGAGCAAGTGCCTGAACTGGGACAACAGTGCTGTAAGACAGGTCAACTGCATACTTATTTCTTTAATCACAAAAGCAGGTATCACTTGTTATTTCTCCAGTGACCATTTGTTACTTCTGATATCCAGGTAGAAGTAATTTCCAACTAATGTGAATTTTACATCAGAATAATATTTTTTAGTAGATAATCACAGGTAGCCCATGCAAATTTCAAAAATATTGCTGGACACAAACCCTAATGTGCTCTATTGTGAAGCTCCATGTCCTTTCAAATAAATTGTTGTAGAAGGAAAAGTCTTCAATTATGGAAATAATCAATTACACTTTTCTGCTTGTAACTTCTCCACCCAATGTTACATTTAGACTGTCTCCTTGAGCAGAGGGAGAAAGATGACACAGGCACTGAGCTGGGTTTGACTGGCAGGCCACAACTTTATCATCTGTATCGCCAGTGCTTGATTACAGGTTTAATGACATACTGATCTACAACTCTGGGCTACAATGGATGAAAAGGGTGCAGTACTAGTCAGTGCAGATCTGGATCTGTGAATTTCCAAATTCTGTCTGCCAGTCTGCTCTCCCAAAACTGCTGCCAAGCTGGCCCTTGGTTGACACACTGGGACTCCCAGCCGGCTCTGCTGCCTTTAGCTCCTGAGGACAGGCTCCGGGCCCTCTCACAGTATCTGCTATTACGTGTGACATGTGCAGCACAGCCACACATTCCCATATGCATTGTATCTGGCCTGCCTGCTGATCTTGTAAATGATTCAAGATGAGAAATGAACAGCTCCACCCACATTCACTGTACTTCCCATATGTTACAACTGCACATCGATGCCTGCCATCATTTTTACAACTGGGTGACAGAACCTTCTGCACACTTTGCTAATATGAGTGAGGGAGGTTGCACGGTCGCCACGTTCACTTTGGCAACACCACCTACCAGACAAATATACTGTGTCCTGTGTATCTGAGTGACCACTGTGTCTCTCCTATCTAAATGAGATAATTTTTCCACCAAAGTGGCAAGATTCATCTAGCTGGGATGGCATACAGCTGCTCCCCCTTGGCCTGGCCATGTTGGAGTACAGGGACTGACTCCATGCTCTGTCACGTTACTTCAAGGCACGAGGTGAAAACACAACTCTTGAACCATATTACCATGTTTGGACTACCCACAGGACAACCTGGCACTAAGGAGAAAGCTCCCAGTCAGTAGTGATAACAATATCCTTCAAATAATTTCCCATTAACCACTTCAAACCAAAATCCCTATTTCTATATGAAGGTAAGAAAGAGACAGTTCCATAAGATGAGTGGCTCCACAGAAAGAGAACACAACTGAGGCATCACAAGATGCAGTGAAAGCTTAAAGGTAAACGTTTTGCTCTGATCCTCTGTACTTGGAACTCATACTCAGCTTCATGTTAGAATGGCTCTAACCTACCATGCTTTTTTGTGCAATTACAACATGCAGAAGACCTCACATGGCAGTGAAATTTGGATCTGAGACTAGGCTATACCTCAGGCTGTCCAGAAATTAAGTGAAAAGTGATAGATAAGGTTTTTGTTACCTTTTGACAGCTATGGCTAGACAATCACTGCAATACCCTGCAGAAATTAGGTGAAACATCAAGCACAAAGCACAGCTTTGGCACCAAGGTTAATTTCACCTGCAGAATAAACTTACATTGTATCCAACACCACAAGGCTATACTAGTACCCACTATTTAACAATTCCCCTTATGTGTGGCCTACAGATAAAAACAAAAACTGCTTTCTTTTCTATAACAGCACATAGCTAAAGTGAGGGCACTCACGGGACTCAGGCTGCAAGCTCCCTACCCTGGGAGGCTCAGACCCATTAATCCACAGGCAATCCACAATGAAGGTAAAAGCTGACATAACCTGTCAGCCCTCCTCTGGGTTTTAATGTTGATTTGAAGGAAATTAATATCCAAGGATCTGTGGGCAGTACCCTACAGTGGGTATCAGTCAGTCCTTGACCGAGTAGAGGCATTAAAAGGTTATATACTCTTTCAGCATAGTCCAGTTACTGATGTAAAACATTTTCACTTTACTCCACGGAGCTGGATTTGCTGAAATGGCGTGACTGGATTGCAGCAACCTGCAGCAGCTAAATCACCAAATCCAATAATCATACTGCATTTACTGGCACACATCTTAATTAGGTTTTAATACAAGTAATCTGATAACTACTTCAGGCCAGCCAGAGTGGAGCTGTCAGTGCTGAAAGGGCTGCCTTTCCACTGCCCCTGCTGAAGCCCCCATCTGCCAGTTGCCATGGTAACACACGCCAGCCCATCACCAGCAGTGGCATCCCATGGCAAGGGCTGGGACATCAGCCACCCAGGGGCCCATCAGCACCAGGGCAATGTCTCTGTGCATCAGGGGGTGCTGGGCCTGCCTCCTGCTGCCCCTCAAAGTGACTAAAACCCAGCACAACCAGCATATGCCACTGTGCAGCAAACTGCCTTTAAAATGCATTTGTCCTGTCAGGGCAAGAGGGTCAAGCTACGTATTTCTAAGGTTGCTCCTGCATTGCTCATTTGCCTGATGATCAGGGGTGGTTCCTGGTTCTGAGTGGGAAAACCAAAGGCCATGCTAGAGACCTCTGCTATGTTGCAGAGATACAGCTGAAGGGCAACCACTATGGTGATCACACTTAGTCCCTGTCACAGATAGATCAGGCACTACCTGAGGTCATCTCCTGCTGAATGCAAGTCAGTGATCAGGCTTGCTTTGCCTCTATGATGATCTTGGTGCCAGACTTGCTGCCATCAAAGACTTAAGGCTGGTGCTCACAGTGAGCTTGTTTCTGCAGCCACAACTGGCCCAGCTGCTGTCACTTCCCACCCCTCTCATAGGCATGGTAGGACAGGTCTCCTCTGCTTTCTTTCCACCTCAACTCTGCTACATTTCTGTCTTCCCTTTTCATCGCAGAAGTGATGTTTTCATTAAGGTAGAAAAATTTATGTTCACTACCTCATTGTATCTTTAATCAACTCTGTGAACAACTAGGATGTTGAGACCAAAAATAAAATTATTACTCATGTGAGAAACTTGCATCTTCACTAATAAATTCACACAGTAAATTTTAAGGTAAAAAAAATTAGTCTATGAATTTAGAAAGGCAGATAAATAGTAAATTACACCCTGATGTTTCACTAGTGTCCTAAATTATTGTTTATTTAAGATCTTGACCCATAGATCAGTGCCTTGAAACAACCTTAAGTGATAAGCATCTCAGAGAAGCCTTCACATGCTCCCAAAATTTAAACAGCAATATCTATACACACAACCTGTCCTTTAACTGAACTGTATTCTCCCACCTGGCTTCGAAATCAAAAGACTATGATGCACCTTTTTAATGCTAATAAAAAATTTTAAAAAGCATAAGAGGAAAAACACACAGATTAAAAAATCACCCTGTAACAGTGAGTAGGAACTAAAGGTAGTGAATAAGTCTCCTCCTTTCTGTCACACTGGAAGACCTGACTTCTAACAGGACACAGGGAGACAGTTCAGGGCATATTAAAAAAGTTTCCATGGAATTTCTCACCTTCTGGAACCCCTATTAGACTTCTGTTGCCATAAAAAGGACAAGACTCCTTTGCTCAGGCAGAGCAGATCTACACCACTTCTAGCTTAGTAAGATAAGCACTTGCCCATGCTACAGGCAGAACAAACTCATCCAACTGATGTTAACAGATGGTAACTAGAAGTTAATATCCCTTGCACAGTTTGGAATTGGACACCTAAGAAGCAAATACCTACATTTCACCATGAACCCCTTGACCCAGGTTGCTTTATATCACTCAGTCTTCTTTTTTTTTAAAATTTTTATATCTATTGGGTAACATTTAAATTCCCTTTTACTAAAGACACTTAATTTTTCCACATAGTTTTAAAGTATCTATAGTATATAATTTCTAATAAGATAACAATGTTTTCATGCCACAACATGCCACTTGCAAATAGGGTTTAATTAAAAGTTTACATAGGAGCTTCCCCTTTGTTTCAGATGTCACCACTATCTATTAGAGTATGTCCTCACTTCTACAGCTGGCTCACCAGGTTAAACAAATAGATCATGTAGGAAACCTGAGCCTGGATCTATTCCTGGGCTTCTAATAGCTCATGTCTAACATGCTGAAGAGAACATTATCAGTCTGTTCTTCAGTAGGGGGTGTAGCAGCTGGGCTTCACTGCTGTAATGACCACTTTTGGCCCTACTGGGTTTTGACAGGAAAGAAGCAATGAAAGAGAGTGTACAGCAGGGTGGAAAAGGTATGGGTGAAAGCTTCACTAATGTCTATTTGTGTCCAAATCCCCT